GAAATTTTGGGCAATTGTAAGGTGGAATCATGGTCGTTAAGACTAGTCAAAGGGAGAACCTTATAAGTCAAGGACTCAAGTTACATTAGTAAGAAGAGAATATGAGAACCTAGATGACTACATCGAGAATAAGGGACATCATCTAGAACTAGCGAGTATATCAAGAAGAAGATTCACGAGTAGCGAAGTAAGAGGGATATAAGTTTAGGGAACCTGCTAGAATACCCCAAAGTAACCAAGATTGCCTATGTTGGTGAAAGGTGTCAATCTCTCGGGTAAAACTCTATTGGACGTAGGGGTGTTCAAACGGTGTGGTTACCATGGTAACCGTTTTAACCAGTACTATTTGGATAATTTGGTTTGGTTAATTTGGATAATTGGTTTGGTTTGGTTAAAGTTCTTAGCTTGCTTGGTTATATGGTTTGGTTTGGTTTCAGACACTCCTAACCAGTCAAACCAAATTAACCAGATAAATAATTAGCAATATATCTAATATATACACATACTTAATACATTGAATAACCACTCAAGAGTTAAACGTTCATCCCTTTTAGGCTCATAAAATATAAAGTTCACGAAGCCGATGGATTTTAACTATATAGTCAGGTGAGTGTAAAGAGGGTAAATTCTATGCCTTACGTATTCTTTCAAGTATTAGAGTTTTAAGTATTTTTGTGAAGTGTTGTTATGGTTGTTTATGCTCATGATTGATGATATGTTCTTGTTTAAGCTGTGGTTTATACTTTATAGTTAATGTGTGTTGTTTGCTTTAAAGCTTTACGTTTATGAGTGATTGTTGAAGTTAAGAACAAGTCCTTTTGTTTTAAGAAGTATTTCACCTTCATGAAGGTGAAATAGTTTTAAGTGTTTTTAGTCACTAGCGCTAGTCCGTTGCCATTTGAGATTTTGGGATAGAGCAGCAATTATGCTCTTGAGACTTTAAGATGAGCAGCAGTTATGCTCTTGAGAATCGTGGAAGAAGAGCCTTCCACGATAAGTTTAAGTTTAAGGAAAGTCGTAATGGCTTCTCATACGTATGAGTTGGCAACCGGACTAGCTAGTGAGGGATCCTCGTGTCAGTCAAGAATTTAAGTTGAGATTTGAGCTTTAAGAATACAGTTTAAGAGTTAAGATTTTTAATAGTGGAAGTACGAAACAACTTCTACTAAGTTAGGTAAAGTGATCAAGTATTAATAAGATGTTAAACGTAAGGGCGTAGACTGACCCCATCTCACTCACCAGTTTGAAGAGCTAGAGGAGCAGTTAGTGAGCAGCGAGTTCGAGGGCAGCCAGCTAGAGGAGAGCAGTATAAGCGTCACGGAGGATGCTTAGTCAAGGTTTTCAGTAGCAACAACATTATAGATTATTAGCTATTTACATTTATGACTATGAGTATTGATTGGAGATCATTTTGAGATTTTAAGTATTGAGTTTGCCCATGTGTTAGGGCGTTGCTTTGAACTACAAGTGTGTGTTTTCAGTATTTTATTTAGTAAAAATTTTCCAGCTGCAATTTAAGATTTGAGTATTTTATTTATCAAGGGCAATTTAGTAAAAGTAGTACCCGGCCGGGTTTGGGTGTTACAAAAGGTGGAGTAGAACTCCACACACAGCTCGTGGTAGATATCCTCATCCATCGTCAAGAGCTGGCGCCACTGGGGGTGACAGAGCACCCCGGTCATCGCGGCTCGGCACCAACAATGCCGGACAAAAATCACAATATCTTCGACGGGAAAAAGGATGGGTTAGCAGCTTGATTTGGACGGTTGGAAGTCGGCAAAGCAGTGGGCAAATACTCATGGGTCTCTGTCTTTCTCAACGTCCGAGGCATCTCACTTTGCTGGGCCGACCGTTAATTACATAAAAAATGAAACATAAGTGAAAAGGAGAGCAAGAAGAAAGAATAGAAAAACCCTCGTCCCTTCCCCTTCCATAATGCCGCAAACACAACATGAAGTTTTGCTCTCTCGCCGCCCTTTCCGCTCATACAACAAACAATTACACGAATGAATAGAAGGTCTTTCCCAGAGCTACAGAAGCGAAAACATATCATCTCGACATCGAACTCACTCCTACTCGATGTATGGACGGAATCCACTTCTAGAAGTCCCTGCCAGCTCACCGACCCACTAAAGGAAGTAAAAAGCTCATTGACCCACCGACACGACAACAACACAGGCTATACGAACGGCGGAGAAAGGGATACTGCCCGCTCCCCCGTCGTCGATTGCTGGACAGCGATCCCAAGCGGGCAACTGAAATCCAAAAAACGGAGACTGCAGCAAGCAAAGTGAAGGACGTCCAATTTTCTCATTTGGGCCGGAGACGTCTCTCTTTGCTGAAAGCCCATTTGGGCGCGCGTTTCAGCAGACCGGCCACATCACAAAGTTTAAACATTTGTTCCTCCATCCCCAAAATTAGGGCTGGGAAAATAGACCAGACCGTTAGAAGAATCGTGGTTCAAACCATACCGCAGAGTTTGGTCCGGACCGTAGACTGTTAAGTATGATCTGGTCTGGTCCATGATCTGTATTATTTTATGTATTGATCTCTTGATCTGGTCTGCTCTAGACCGCGGTTTACCGGACGAAATCGTGGATCCAACCGACTTGTCAATACGTGTTAACAACCCATTCGACCACTCTCCCAACTCCCACAACGACACCTAGTCTCAACCTTAGTTTTGTGAATCTCGTCCCTGCTTCATTCACAACCACATTTAACTAGAGAGTAGAGATAATCGTGTCTGCATATGACATTATGTTAATGTTTGTGACGTTATGGTGCAAGTTGGGATGCTTTTACTTTGTATCTTTATTATGTACAAAGATTTATGGTATAAACATTATTCATGCATGTTAGGATTAATGTTTTAAGGCAAATAACAATTATTTTTCTTGGTTATTGGTTCAATTTTTTTGTGTGGTTGGCTGAACAAATTATTCATTGTTCGTTGAGTGTGGTCTATCTTGACCAGACCAGACCGAACCAGACCGTACAGGCATGGTCTGGACCCGACCATATAGTCTGTGGTCTATGCTTCAACCTCTCCGTCTGGACCATAGACCATATATATGGTCTGGTCTGGACCAGACCGCACCGTTTCCCAGCCCTACCCAAAATACCCATCAGAAAATCACTCTGAGGCAACAAATTTCGAATGGGGAGAAGTTATGATATCGAGCATTTAATATACTTGTACTTTGGGTTATGCACCCATCAGTAACTAAACATTTAGAAAATTCAGATCTAAAAATGGAGAATTAAATGTCATTTTTATTTTCCCTTGCTTTCTTAATCGACTCATATCTTCTTCGTTTTAACTCGGATTTCAATTTTTTTTGCATAGATGGAATGAGTTCGTTGTGCTCTACAAAATGAGATCCATTTATTCAATATTTTTTGAGAAAAAAAATTATTGCCTCTCGGTACCAACTGCATAGCATATTGTATTTTCTTAGTTTTTAATTCATTTTTGAAAATTTTTGCACAGAAGGAACGAGTTCATCATGATCTATTGGATCTACAAATTTCTAGGTGAACAAAATACAGGACCAAACAATACCACACAATACTACCGTGGTACAAGGTGGTATCTTGTGGTACACAATGTTAAAAGTCATAAACGACAGTTAATATACTTTACTATCATGTATTCAACCATCCTATAGCCTTGGTTTGTTCATACCACCATGGTACACTTTTCAAACCATAGGTATGCTCTTATTTCAATACCAGTCAATACCATATGGTATAGATTGGTAAAAAATGGCTCAATTTTTTTGTTCCAAAAATATATCAAAGTGGATATTATTTTGAAAAACACAATTAATCTGATCTAACTGTGCAAAAAAATTAAATTTCGACTTAAAACGAGTGAGAAATCGTCTGTTAAAGATTAAGGGGGAAAATTAAAGACTTTTCAGGAGAGAGAAGGGGCACTGATGTGGCGAATGGTGATTGGGACCAGAAGGTTATTGACCAGAAGGTTATGACCAGATCTACTCTTCTTGTACTTGTATATTAGTGAGGGGCTAAGATCCAATGGCTCCAATTAATTCAATTAAATGAATGACAATGTAGTAATTGCATGACTTTATTAATTTTTATTATATTTATTAATTAAATAGCCTTATATTTCTGCCCCGTGACCCCGTCACTCTTCTCTGGCCGGGAATTTTCCCGGAAAACTCTCATTTCTTATGCTGACCACGGATCCAGCACATTGAAATTTTTTCCGGCGTTCCATTCCCTGGTCCATTTGCCAATTGCATTTTTACCCAGGGAGAGGTGGGCGCCTGGGAAATGTAGCGAACGAGAGAGAGATGCTTTTTCGTCATCGGCGACTTTTCTGGCGACAAAGAGGATTTTCCGGCGACAACGTCTGTTTTGTTATATTTGTCGGACGGTTTTGTAATGTTTGTAAGTATGTTTTGTGATTTTGTATCAATTCGGTTTGTATTATTTATCATTCTAGTTTGTCATTTTTATCTATTATGTTTTTAATGTTTATATGACTAATTTGTATACATCTTAATTTGTAATGTTTGTTTGTCTAGTTTGTATAATTTATGTTGTGATTTGTATACTTTGTATTCATTGATTTGTAATACAAATTTATTGTTTTGTATTGTAAGTAGTTGCATTTGTACTGTTAGTATGTTTTGTAATGTTCGTATGTTTCGTATTGTGTATAAATATGTTTGTATGTTTTATCGCTCTAGTTTATATTGTTCATACTATTTGTAAGTCTGATTTGTATAATTCGTAATTTTCCATAATACCAAAATACCCCTGTTATTATTTAAATAGTCATTTCCATTTTTTAACCGTCAGATTGTTTTGTCTAGATCTAAAGGCTGAGAGGGTTTAATCAAGTGATCAAACACCTTAGTCAATAGTCATAGCCTATAGGATCCGGACCCTATTAGTGAGTCCCTCGTAAAGTTTCCCCGATCGGAAAGAAATAAAGAATCGTATCTCTTCAAATATAGTATCTTTTGCTTGCTTCATCGTTCTGTCTTTTGTTGGGTATTCTGTTCAACTCCTCCGTTGATTTCCGCCAATCCCTTTTAACTCTAACGGCGGGTTTCAGATTCAACTGGTGAAAAGTGTTAACTGTTGCGTTCGAAGAAGTTTAATTAGAGAGGATATTAATGGAAGAAGGCAACAGAGGAAGCCAGTTCAAGAGGATCTGCGTGTTCTGCGGAAGCAACTCTGGCAATAGAGAAGTCTTCAGTGACGCGGCTCTTCAGTTAGGGGATGAACTGGTTGGTCCTCTTTAACGTTTTGATGTCTTTTTCAGTCAGTTGTTTGCGTTGCTGGGTGATTATTGACCTATCTGGACTATCGGTTGACTTAGTTTCTTGTATTGTGAAATCGGCTTTGGCTTGTTTTGACAAGTTCTGTATGTGGGCGCAATGTTTGACTTTGTCGCCATATCATATCTATCTGGGTAGTTGAGTTCCGAGCTTTGGATTACAATCGGGACAGCCAAGTCGAATTTGTTTGAAGGTTTCGTGCAATTCAGTTCCTGACTACTTGTGTGGCTAGCTATGCTTCATATCTGTTTGTTTTGTTTGGCCCAACCCTTCTGTTTCGCTTGCACCAACGAATTTCAGTTTTAAAATCTTTGTACTCACAGATGGGTTGTGGATTTCAGGTTAAGAGAAGGATAGACCTGGTTTATGGTGGAGGAAGTGTTGGACTAATGGGTCTGATATCCCAGAAAGTTTATGATGGGGGCTGTCATGTTCTTGGGTAACTTACTAACTCCCTAACCATCAGAGTTAACTGATGTCAGCTACGAAAGAGGAATGTGGTTGGCACAGTTTTGATGGTTCTGAAAGATTAACTCTTGTTCTTACTTCTTACTTGTCTCCAATGCAGTGTCATCCCCAAAGCACTGATGCCTATTGAGGTGTCCATTTCTTCCCCTCTTTTGGTTTGACTTTCTTAATTCTCTTCTGAAACAGTGTCTGTGGCCTTGGTTGGATACAATTTCTTCCATGGGTTGGTAATGGATTGAGTTGCCTAAAAATGAATCTGCTTTGTCATTTGAATTATAAGACTTGTGATTTCTTACGTCAAATTAACCCGAATTGCCTCTTGTCAAGTGAAATTACCTGCATTGTTATCTGGTCTTTCCAAAACCAATGTTAAGGCTATGAAACATAACGTGATGCATTTGGGTAAGGGCAAGAGGGAAGTGTTAAGCAGTTTGTAGTAGGTTTGTCGAAGTTGCCACTAAATCTTTGTTGTTCCTGGACATATTTCAGATTTCAGGTGAATCGGTGGGAGAAGTAAGAACAGTATCAGATATGCACGAGCGTAAGGCTACAATGGCCAAAGAAGCGGATGCTTTTATTGCTTTACCTGGTACACACACGTAGGAGAAATGTTGAGGGTAATGATGAACATATAACTTTTTGTATAACTAGTAACCTGTTGTGCCGTATTCTTTCAGGGGGATATGGAACCATGGAAGAACTGTTGGAGATGATTACATGGTCGCAACTTGGTATTCATGAGAAACCGGTAACCCATTGGTCTTTGCCCGGCATGCTATTAAGTAACTGCTGACTATCTAATCTAATCTAATCTATGGGTTCCATTTATCTGTTGAAATTGTTGGTATTTATTATCAGGTTGGACTGCTCAATGTTGAGGGCTATTATGATAGTTTACTATCACTATTTGACAAAGGTGTCCAAGAAGGTTTTATCAAGCCTGGTGCTCGCAGCATAGTTGTGTCTGCTCCAACGGCAAGAGAACTTCTGGAAAAGATGGAGGTATTTTTTCTGTACACCTTCAATCCTTGAATGACTGACTCGTTTACAATATGAGTCGACAAGATGAAAGTGATGAATAAGGTTAGGAAATTTGATAATAAGAGGTGCTTTTTTGCGGGAAAGAAACCCCGTAATGGGGTCTGTTTCATTTTAGTTGCACTTCAGCAATAAGTACATGTACCGTTGTAGGCAGTATAGCACAGAGTCCCATGTCAGTAAACAACAATTCTTTTGTTCTCTTCTGCTCGAATTCTGTTTTTCCTGAAAACAGCACAAAATAGAAAACGTAAGTTCTGTATATGTTGATCTCAAAGTTCTGTATAACTGACAACTCATATGACAGTGATTGCAGTTAATGCCTTGACTGGCCACGTTGTGCAGTGAGTTTAGGATTTATAGTCTTTATAGCCTTGTTTGGTCTGGGCCAAATGACTTAAAGAGTAAACATCTTCGGAATTGTTTCCCTGCAGCTATACATCCCATCGCATAAACATGTAGCTCCTCACAAGAGCTGGGATATGGAACAATTGGGCGATTATCCAACAAATCAGAGCACATAATCAAGTGTGGATGACAGGTCTTCTCTCACCGATTTTAGCAAATGATCAACTATGTGATTTTTTGTAACGAAGGATTGACCCGTCTTTATTGTTTCTTGCCTGTTTGTGATGAAAGAAAGGAGAATAAACTCTCTCGGTCTTATATTTTTACGAGACTTAATTGAGTTATAGTCATTTCGACCATACAAAAGTCCCAAATGACTCTATCAAGTTATTTTCAAATACCTCCTATCAATGAGTCATTCCCAAATCACTCATTATTTAGTCCAAATGTTCCAACTATGTTCTTACCCTACTTTATGTAAACCCACTTCTATCCTTCTCTTTCTATTATTTGTTTTCTATGTCATTACTTCGTCTCCTCTCGGAATTATTTTTCTCTCCCAAATTTCATCAACGGTGAAGAGGATCGGTCATCTACGTAACGCGTATAATTTTCGTTCACAAGCACTACCATTTGTAATTAGCTTAAAATTCGAGACTTATGGAGGCGTTATCCTTTATAAAAAGAGTTAACATATAATTATACTAGCACAGGGCTCGACCCGTTGGTCGGAGAACTTAATAGTTACATAATTCATATTTGTTGTTTACGCTAATGATGTGATCTGTTCGTTATTTGGTCATCGACTATCTAAGAAACATATTCAAACTATTCTGAACATGTTTAGAACGTGTTGAAAAAATGAGGATGATAAAATGATTAAAAAAAACAACTAATAATGACATACATATTACAAACAAAGTGTTGCCCACATAAAATGTCTATGAAGAACAATATGAAATTTTTTCATGTGGTACATACATAAACAATAGTTATCATCAAAGAAAATGATTGTCCTTTGATGGAGTTCAAAGTATCCATAAAATATACTTCCCAATTTTATCTTCTTTATTGATCATGACATGAATCATACATTTGAAATTATATGAATTGAATGAGAGACAATACTTAGCTGGACAAATGTAAGGGTTTGTATTTTGATGTCTTAGTGATAACCATATATCCTTAATATGACCAACAAAACAATGTAGTAATTTCCTTGCAACTCCTACTATTTTAGCAATAATAACTCTTGAAATAGAGTTTTCAAATTCGGGAGACATATCAAAGTAGGTAAGGCTACATCTAAGATAAGTAAATTGACATAGATGTAAGATTTTTGAATTTCTTATTCGGTGGACCCAGTGAAATTAATTTACCTTTTCAATTAGGGCTGGCTATTTGGACCGGGACCGGATGAAAAACCGGAAACCGGACCGTATAACCCGGACCGAGACCGGACCGGGACCGGATAGTAAACAATCCAATCCAATCTTTGGGCTTAGATTTGAGGTAAAAAACCGGATAAAGACCGGATAAAAGAGCTCAACACCCAAAACTTAAGGGTAATTTGCATAAACGGTCACAAACCTTTGCACTTAGTGCAAAACTTAACCAACTCCTCACCCTTTTAGGCCTTAGGCCACTTAAATTCCCACAATCTCAATATAAAATCAAGACCGAATTGGGACCGGACCGGGTCAAGACCGGACCGGATCAAGACCGGACTGTATCCAATCTTCGGTCCTTATATTTTCAAAAAAACCGGACTGGACCGGATCAATTTGGGCCAATTTAACCGGACCGGACCGTATAGCCACCCCTATTTTCAATAAGAGAGATGTGTGCAAATTGTTTGTCATCTTTCCACGGAGTGTCCTTTATTGTTATTCAGCTCTGAACCTAAGATTCACATACCACCAAGGTTGTCAACCCGTGGGTTGACCCGGACCCGGTCGAGCTAATGGGTCAAGGGTTAATGGGTCGACCGTTTTAGCCCGGTTTGGCCCGGAAATATGGAAAGAGTCATTATATTGTACTTATCCTCGTAAATTATATCAAATCTTATCTAACATATGAGTTATAACATATAATATTACACCAAAATAACATATCGTACTTAGATCCAACAGATAGTGAAAATTCAACACACTTATATAACATAAATATTCAAATAGGATTTCAAAAATTGAGTTAGGCGAAAAGAAAAATCGGAAAATAGGCGCATTTCGTAAATCAAAGAAAAAAACGACACAATTTGACCTCCAACCCGGTACCTTGTAGCGGTCGACCCGGCGGGTGCGTGCGGCCCGTTTTTCTCACTGGGTCAGGGTCAAATTGGGTCGACCCGCGGGTTGACAACCTTGCATACCACTCAATCCTCGAGTTTTTTTTTTTTTTTTTTATGGGAAAGTTTTTTCTTTTATAATAAGTAGGAAGAAGCTAGAGAAGACGACGGATCAATGAAGGGAAAGATAAACTTGGATCAAAGCTGGGGAAGTGGAGGACGTGATTAAGAATGATCGATGAAACAGACCTAATGAATTCCTTCAGTTGGGAGACATTGTTTAAGATCTATTGTATTTGTATTGTACTGAGATGGGCTAGAAGAAATAACTGCCTTTACAATGATATGACTTTTTCACATAAATAGTAAATACTATGTTTCATAATCGTATATTGAATGTAATGTACGTATTTTGTGCATTTAAAGTTTTTGTGTACTGTTGCTATATTATTTCATTTTTTTGTCCATTTGATTACTCATGTACGACACACGTATAAAATTATATATCTAGATCTAGTCTAGATAATAAATAAAAGCCGAATGATGAAAACTGTTGCTCCGTTTCAAATTTCCTGCAACGAGAGTGATTATAGGAAGGACATTTTGGTCTTCACAATTGCTTATTTTCTTATTTATTTATTCATAAAAAAGGCATGCACTGGAATTTGAACCTTGGTCTCTTTAAAGGCAAGCAAGGATCATAACCAATCACACTAAGTATATTTGTTGTATCTATTTAAATTCAAACATACACGAACCTAGATTATGAAAATCATATGACTTTTTTAAAGATTAGTTGGCCACTAAATCTCCAGTAAGTACTTATTTGGTGTTTTAATACTTTGATTATTTTAGTTGTAGTTTAATACTTAATTTAAATTTCTATCTATTTTATAAATATACAATAACCCTAAAATTGCAGCCCAAATATCACTGGTTCGAATATTGCATATCGAATTGCAATATTAAACATGTAGAAGCAATATCGACTTCTTAAATTAATATTATTTTTCAGAATTACTATGGAGAAATTATATCTTTGTGCAAACTATATGAGACTGGTTCTTTTAATGTTTTAGTCGGGATAACCGCTACATTTTAAACTTCTTCATAATCTGGCATGATTGGATCCAATGATCATTATACAAGATTGTGTTTAATAGGGTGGCTCATTTCACCACTTTTTGGCGTGTTAATGAATTTGTAGGACAATGACAGGTCTACATCTACACTCATCACAATCTACACATCATATAAATGTGAAATGTGAAATGTGAAATGAGAAAAGAGGGATTCCATTTCAAATTTGATGCGTACAGAGCAATTTTTTAGGGGTAAATTTAGAAGATGCCAGTGCGGTCGGTCTGTTGAGCACGAAAGTAAAAATATGTTTTCATTTAAACGGGCCCAAACTGTTATTTGGCCCACTAATCGTGCACCCATCGCCAATGCAGTCAAATTCGGGATTTTGATCGTAAAATCGTAGGATTTTAGGATTTTACTTAGGGATTCCGATCTTGATTTTACTATAAAATCGGTGGACCTTAAAATCGTTTAAAATCGGGATTTTGATCGTAAGAGAACAAAATAGGTGGTTTGAGCCAATTTAAAATAAGTATAACTGTTTCAGCAGAAAGGGCAATGGAATCTTCTCAGATATTTTTCTATTAGAAAAATATTCAAAAATAATAAAAATAACCAAATTAGGGTTCGGTTAATCTCTTTCCCTACACCCCATTTAACTTATTGGTAAAACACCTGTCCTAATATTGGAAGTATGTAAGAACTAACATCATTATTAACTAATTAATTTATTAATGAATATATTTGTACCAAGCCACTAACATTACTTTTTTTATTGGAGTTCAATTATTTTTAGTTTTAAATCATACTTAGTAGACGATGTCGAAATATTACTTTAAGTTAAACAACCTAGACATAACATGAAAATAAGAGCCAAACCCATGAACTATATCCCTTCATCATGAATTATTTTGAGTTACACATTAAATAACAATTAAAATAGTGATTTTGGAACATTAATCTTGAGAATTATCTTATGGAAAAAAATCTTCTGAATTATCATTTTAAATGCTATGTGTCTTTGTGATATTAATAATTTACTTTATTAATATTCTTATATGCTATGTTCTATATGGTACTTAAAATCCTACGATTTTACGATTCGATTATACGATTTTGATTTTACCCCAGTTTTCGATTTTAGGTAAAATCTCGATTTTAACTGCTTTGCCCATCGTAGCCTCTCCAAATCTTCCTATTCTACTCGCCGGGTCATCTCCTCCTCTACAAAATATCTCCTCATGTACTCAAAGTTCTCACTGAAACCTAATATCTACAACTTAGGCGCAGAGGGAGCAACCGATGGATTGTAGCGACCCCCACTATTTTGATAGCTAATCAAGAAGAGCGCGTTTGTTTAGTTGTATGGTGATTCACTAAATTAACAATTTTTATTCCGTTGACAGCCTCCTCTCCGCAATTGTATTGTGTTCATGAAGATCTGAAGGCGCAAGTGCAACAGGTCCAGGGGTAAACAATATGTATAAAGCGTTAGCCAAATTGAATTGAGTCATTCTACTTGGAATATGAAGATTTTTGCTTAATTGTTTTGGTTCGTGATGCAACTATGTTATGTTTGAAGGTAGACCAACGCAAACAACAGCACAGCTCCAGGGCTATTCTGCACATTAGGTAGTTGGAGCATTAATTGATAATTATTTGGGATTATTCCTACAAGTACATAATTTGGAACGTGCCTTTATATTGCATTGATTAATAGTTGTTTGAGATTTTTCAAATGAGTGATTTGACATGTTAAACTCTCTTATTTTTGAAAATGGAGTCTTCGAAGTGGAATATGAAGATTTTGGATTAAGCTTGGTTTCGTAACGCCCTTATGGGTGTTTATTCTCTAAAATGCAGCTGTCTTTCAAAGCGCCCGTTGCAAATGGCAAGTCAGGATACAACGATGGTACCGATACACGTTTATATCATTAGTAGGTAGCAGAT